AACCCTTGATGTTGAACAGCAAGATTTGCCCTACAATGCCGAGAATTTGCCCGTTTTCGCTTTAGGAACAGATCGATTGTTTTATGAAGCAAAGCTGCACCATGTCCGCTTAATAGGATATGCATACGTTAAAACGAGTTGCCCGTCTTGTAAGCGTGGTCTTTAGTGTCCCTACACTGTTTCTTGATACTCTATGCAACGATTACCTCTTGCAATAATTAGCGCACTCTGCTTGCCATTGGATGCGAATTTAATGCAGGAATTTATTAAGTGATGCGAGCAGATTCCAGAAAGCGGCATCGATATCATGTGCGCAGGACCCACGTTATTACTGCTTATTACGATTACAAGGATAGTGCGTTAGCGTTTCCTATATAATCTGTTTCTCTTGTTCGAGAGAATGAATCATAACATTCTCACGTTGCTAACTTCTATTATTTTTATGACTAAACTAAACCTCAGAAATACATACTTCCGTAAAAAATACCTCTAAATATACAAGGTGATAACACTTAGTACAACGGGTGTATCTCGAAACAACCCATTCTTATTTGAACCCTTCTCGTTTGAACCCATTCGCAAAGCGCCCTTCTCGTTTTAACCTTTCGCGTTTCGACCCTTTCTTATTTATACCCGTCTCATTCGAACCCATTCTCATTTGAACCCTTCTCGTCTGAACCGATTCGCAAAACGCCCTTCGCGTTTTAACCTTTCGCGTTTCGACCCTTTCTCATTTGAACCCGTTGTCATTTGAACACCGTAGTGAGGTATAGAAAGAAGGAAAAACAGTTGAGGATGAAGGTTGAAGATGAAGCGAAGCGGCACCATCTCTTGCATGGCACATGAAACAATTTTCCTTATGCCTGCGTGCCACCCCGATTCTGTTGACGTAGCTACGTGGTCACATGGTGACATGGTTTCAAAAGTGCCAGCCCAGATGTGGTACTTCATTTCTCTTCTGTCGCTGTATGTCGTTAAGATGTCGTCGTGTGGAGCGGATGGATCATTGTGCCAGTCGTGTGTTATTGCTTGTAATGGCCAATTCGGGTGGTCACTTTCCCTGAAAAAAAGTTTCCTCATATCTTTGGCAAGGGCGTTCGCGTGGTCAAAGGCTGGCGGGTGCAAGCTTTTCGGGTTGCGCTTCCTAGGCGTATACCGGCAATTTACCAGCAGAAGTTTTCCCGAGCTCCAAGAGGTCGGGCAGCTTGTCTGCCAGACTGTATCCGGTATCGTCACATCCGAATCGGGATAGGGAACCAAACGAAACAATGCTCGCTGAGGCGGCAAATAGCGGGTTCGAGTGGCAAACGAAGCCATCGAGACAGGCACCCTTTTGTGCTCTGAGACTAGATAGCAAAAACATCGAAGAGAAATATAATTTATGTTTCAAAGAAAGTCAACATTTTTGGAAGAATTTATCCAGCCTGAGCAAGGTATGTTTGCTCTGAGACACGGGCTGCATCATACATCACTTTATTTTACAACACTGTAATAACAAGTTATTACACCGCTAAAAAAAAAGTATTCATAGTGATGCACTTTGAAACTTGAACACGCATTACAATTTACAGATCAGAGACTTGAACACGCATTACAGATCGTTCCGATACCCCCGATAACCCCGATAACGATACTATGCATGCGCAAGGGAGGCGGTGGTGTAGTATCGGGTATCGTTATCGGAGTCGTGGGAACGATCTACTAAAACTCTCTACTAACAGTAAACAGAATATGGAAAGCGACGCTGGCAAGCCTCCGTGGCAACAGTTAATCGGAAATACAAATAAAGTTTATGGAAATTTGACGCGCGTGCGGGCAGTACCACACTGATTTATACATCTGCCCTTTCATTGATTTTATATTTTAATATTCTGTCAGCTGTACGGACTGTGGTAATGCCAATATTTTGGAAAGTTTTGTGAAGCCGCTTCTGTTTACACACATCTCAAAGAGTCGTAATGTATGTTGTCGGCGTATGCAGCGTGCTCATGGTACCATAGAATGATCGAAGAAGAAGTTATCAGAGCTCACTCGCGACCCAGTCAAATAAAAACGCCAGTTCATTGTGCTTTGCATTCGGGTAGAGAGGGTCACGTGATGCGCCGCTGGCGCGTTTTTGGTCGCCGGTGCCACAGGCAAGGGCTCGAAGGCAATTAATTACCCGAATTCCCCATAAATACCACAGAAAAATTGCGAGATCATGATGTTGGATTAATTTGGGTTCGAAATGAGAGAGGTTAAAATAAGAAAAATCTTTCTGACAATGGTCAAAACCAGAAAGTATGTTTTGAGAAAATTTGAAATGAGAAAGGTTAAAATGAGAAAAGTCGTTTTGAGAAGGGTCAAAACCCGAAAGTTTGTTTTGAGAACGGTTTAAATGAGAAAGGGAGAAACGCGAAAGTTGTTTTGCACTGGGTTGAAATGAGAAGGTAAAAACGAGAAGGTAGAAATGCGAACGGGTTCAAATGAGAACCACCCAGTACAACGGCGCTGAAAAAAAAATCCCAACACAGTGGATGTCGATATTTAGATGAACCGCAGTACCGCTTAAAATAATCTATGAAAAAATGGACAGCGCGATAGCTTAAATTGTTAAAAGAAAGTAATAACGAGGAACACACTTCGATAAATATTTCACACAAACAAGTATAATGATGTTTACGTTACAATTATTTCGAAGCACCAAATGAAAGGCACGTTTATGATCTATTTTGCACAGCATATTCAGCCCTTCATTAAAAGCAAGTGCTTTCGGTTTACATTATTTGGGAGCATGAGCTTGTAATGAAAAATAGCTGTCACTCTTACCCATAGTGTGAACTTATTTTCACCAACCTACTCATTCCTGCTCAAAAACTTGCACACGTAGATTTCGTATCGAGTCATACAACATATCACTGCCTGCGGTAAGTCCAAATTCAGAATTAATGCAAACAGCGAAAGCAGGCTTCCCTTCAGAACAAGCAATACATCAAACGCATTATGCTCCTTCACTTTTGTGAAAGAAAAAGCACGCTTCGAGCATAATTTGAGAGACGTGTGATACACTTTAAATATCTGAATTCTGCATTCATTAAACAGATGGTGTAATTTGTTATTTAGTGATACGCTGCGTCCTTACGTAAACATTATTGCAGCTTCCTACTGAGTCAAGCATCTGTCATAAAAAGAAAATAATTGTAAATAGCACTTCTAGCATTTTGTTTCTTTCCAAGAAACTTAGGTTGTAAGCCTAAGTTTCTAGTTTCGGATATCTACAAAAAAAAGCCAAAATACACCGAAGAGTTGCCATAGACACAAATTTGATGCATTCCTCAAGGCGAGGAAAGACGAACGGAATGAAGAGCTGTAGCCAGCAGACCGAGACATGCGGTTGTGCGAAGCTGTCGGTACGACATGGGCGGATTTAGGAGGGTGGGAGCGGAGGGCGACCACCCTCTTAAGTTCCCCAAAGTAATCTTATAGAGCGCAGCCCTTAGGCGCCCGTTCCCGCATATAGCGGCGTGGGTGTCGGCGTCTGCGTCGCCGTTGCCATCGGCGTCGGCGTCGGCGTAACCGCTATATGCGGGAACGGGATCGGAGCGGGTGCCTAAGTCTTAGAATGGAACACTGTGCGCGTTTGATTATGGGCAAAAGGGAAAACAGCGCGCAAAAAACAGGAACAAAGCAGATTGCGGGAGCATGCTTTGTCGTTACTGTCATACGTGAAAGTGTCTGTGTGGGGGGGGGGGGGGGGGGGCACTTGTGCCTTCATTATGCAAGGTGTGGGTGTCGACCCTTCTTCGAAAAGGTAGTAATCATTGGCAAGGTCAGAGACCGAATGACGAGGGAAATTTCGGAAGCCTACGCAATAAAAAGAGAAGGCACGAAATACGTCAGTCAGACGTCGCTGAATTTACACAGCAAAGGGATTGAATTTTAAACTCGCGTTGATTGCCCGCCCCGGGATGTGTTCGGTACTGATGATTTCGTTTTTTACAAAAGATTCAGTTGAGAGTCAGAGCCTGTCCTGTGTGCACTTGTACTTTGTCCTTTATTTTGCGCACTGTTTTCCTTTAGATTGTATGGACCAACTACCCCACATCGGCACCCTAATTCAGTACATTATAGGGCACGACAGACCTATACACCAATTCAATTCCCCGCAAAGTTTAGCGGAGTAACTAAATTGATGTGTACGTCTGTGACATCCCATAGTGCGACAATGCGGAAATTCTCCGTAAATCACAAAGTCTCGTTAATAGCACAACATGACAACGTTTAGCAAGGCCCTTAGTTTGTGCTATTAAACACATTGGGGGATTGATCGTCTTACGCAAGTAATAAAAAATCTCCAACGAATATCTCGTTCGCCGGTCCTTTAGCTAATCACCTGGAGAAGTGGTCATAAAATATTTCATGAACAATACAAGACGCGTTGTTATGATATTTGTACTCTTATTTGACCGTAACTTCGCGGGGACATAAGTGGCCGATTGCGCCTCCTTCCTGCGTATGTAAAAAAGAGGTCTATACACTGTAAGAAATGCATGCGCGTCTACTTACACGTAAAGCACTTGAAGCGTCAATCTCTGCAATCTACGAAATCAGCTCAGTGAATGGCGAGGCGGAACATCTGTTTAGACTTCAAAATTAAGTCTATGCTGTGGCATTACGCAATGCAAGCATGACGCTTTGCACTGCGTAATGCCACAGCGCAGGCTTCATTTTTTAGGTCTAAATGGATGTTCCGCCTCATCATTCGCTGAGCTGATTTCGTAGATCGCAGAGATTGGCTCTCTGAGTGTTTTGCGGGTAAGTAGACGTCCAGGCATTACTTAGTGTGTAGAGTTCAGATGACAGCGTTTCGTCTATTGCTTTATGTCACGGTGTTCGGAATGTAAACCAAACCGATGTAATAGTCGAACCTCCCCATGAAGTCAAATTGCCCAGGACGAATGTCTTGTGTAGTAAGACAAATAGCTCAAGACACTGAAGCTTACCCGGTATTTGACACTCACCTTCACACTCTGCGAGGCAGTCTTCGTGTGTCTCGAAGTTGTTGTCGTTACCTGTGCAGCCCTTGTATTGGAACACGTCGCAACGGGACGAAGTGGTGTTGAAGAAGTACCGAGGAATGTCCTCGTTGCAGCTTCCTTCGACAAGCGGCATACTGCACACATCTAGTTGCAGGGACCGGAGTTGTGAGTTAGTTGAACATAAGAGACGGTGCGGACTACGGGGCATTTTGAATAGCCTTATAGAGGTTTATAGGTCCATACATTTTTAATTTATTTCAGTCTTAAATTTACAAAAATAAAGTATCATTCATGTCGATACGATTCTTTTTTTAATTACAGAAGATAGCTGTTTTTGGGTGCAGTTTTGAAATATTTTTGTGCCTACTGCACCACGCGTAAGCGTGCGGACAAATGTTCAGCGTGGAGCTTGAATGCTGCAAAAAGATTGGCTTCGAGCGTTTCGCGAGTAAAGGCGATCTACAGCAAATACTTTTTTACCGGGAATAAAATTTGCGGATCAAGCTGGGAAATATCTGAATGAGTAGTCAAGGAATGTCATGCAATTGGTCCAGCGCTGGCTCAAAAGTTTAACTGCACCCGTCGCGTCAGCAAATTATTTGATGACGTTAACCTACCCTTGTATCCTGTACAGGACTATAACCAACCCAACAACAAAAAATCAATAGCCATCTACTACGCCAAAGAGGAACCTCATAGCAGTGGCTGTATTAGGCGCAGTATTTATTTTACAATGGAAATATTCCCCATACATATATGGAAGTCAGTGTTTGGCATTACTCTAATTCGATCGACAGCAGTAATATACACGCTCATGGCATATGGATAGGATAGGTTTGCGCAAGCTATTGGCCGGGAGGAATAATAACGTTAATTTGTGTTCGTCTGTCTCTTCGGAACTTCTGCGAGACGTGTGATGGCAGCATAAACCCCATACATAGCTCTGTGTTTTAACGCACTTGATACAAGTGTGAATGTCCGATAGAATGCCTTACAGCATAATTCCCATACATAGCTCTGTGTTTTAACGCACTTGATACAAGTGTGAATGTCCGATAGAATGCCTTACAGCATAATCCCCATACATAGCTCTGTGTTTTAACGCACTTGATACAAGTGTGAATGTCCGATAGAATGCCTTACAGCATAATCCCCATACATAGCTCTGTGTTTTAACGCACTTGATACAAGTGTGAATGTCCGATAGAATGCCTTACAGCATAATCCACATACATAGCTCTGTGTTTTAACGCACTTGATACAAGTGTGAATGTCCGATAGAATGCCTTACAGCATAATCCCCATACATAGCTCTATGTTTTAACGCACTTGATACAAGTGTGAATGTCCGATAGAATGCCTTACAGCATAATCCCCATACATAGCTCTGTGTTTTAACGCACTTGATACAAGTGTGAATGTCCGATAGAATGCCTTACAGCATAATCCACATACATAGCTCTGTGTTTTAACGCACTTGATACAAGTGTGAATGTCCGATAGAATGCCTTACAGCATAATCCCCATACATAGCTCTGTGTTTTAACGCACTTGATACAAGTGTGAATGTCCGATAGAATGCCTTACAGCATAATCCCCATACATAGCTCTGTGTTTTAACGCACTTGATACAAGTGTGAATGTCCGATAGAATGCCTTACAGCATAATCCCCATACATAGCTCTGTGTTTTAACGCACTTGATACAAGTGTGAATGTCCGATAGAATGCCTTACAGCATAATCCACATACATAGCTCTGTGTTTTAACGCACTTGATACAAGTGTGAATGTCCGATAGAATGCCTTACAGCATAATCCCCATACATAGCTCTGTGTTTTAACGCACTTGATACAAGTGTGAATGTCCGATAGAATGCCTTACAGCATAATCCCCATACATAGCTCTGTGTTTTAACGCACTTGATACAAGTGTGAATGTCCGATAGAATGCCTTACAGCATAATCCACATACATAGCTGTGTGTTTTAACGCACTTGATACAAGTGTGAATGTCCGAGAGAATGCCTTACTGTGGTCAGCGCAGTGGCACTTTCGTTCGCCGCTGTGGAGTGTCTTTGGTGTACACGTAGGCGGACAGAAGAAGGGCTCCTCAGAAGGAACGTACTCTGAAACAGAGAAGGTGGCGTTGTTCAGGAAGCCATCCACAATCAAGGGAAGTAGGCCCATTTTAATTATAGGCGTTCCTTGGCATTGTCTTCCGGAGTACTGCAATAGTCACAAGGTCAATGTCTTCTTCGTTAAGCGGTATCGAACTGCCTGAAAAAGCCATGCCACTAGGGGTCACCTTTCGTTAGAAGTGAAGCATACGATAGGCCTCCCCGTTATTTTTCACTGGTGTGCCGCACTTCTGAGATTTATGCTCATAAACAGAATTGAAAGAGAGAGAGAGAGATGTACATTTTGCCGACTCAGTGCGGCTGCTGATGATGTGACTTCTAGTTTGATGATAATTTATGCCAATCAGATTGGTTAGACCAGTTCGTAATTCTTGCTTTCAATCCTACATGAGGCACATTGATCTCTACATTAGGCAAAAGGGGGCGAGGTAACGGCGGGAGTAGAACGTAGCAAACCGGAAGCGCTTGCATTGGTTGTCTGGAGAGAAAAAAGAAAAGAAAAGGGCGACAGAAAAACATAGAAGTAAAGCCAATGATAAGTTAGGAGCATTCGTTTTGCCGCGACCGGTTAAAGTTGATTGAGTGCTTATCCGCTTTATTTTAACACAGAATGCTTTTATGGGCTGGACTTTATGTAAAACGTGTACCTGCCGAGTATGAGGAAAAAACGTTACGCACAGGCCAAGGCAACGTAAAGCATACACAGCCCATAATAGCCAGTGCGTACACGAATCTAAGTAGAAGGCATTCTTAGTCATAATTAATCATATATACTCATAATTTATTATATTTACATGTAAAAAGCAAGATGTAACAAGCGCCTTAGTAGGAATCGAACCCCGGACCGTGCGATTCGCGGCCCGACGCCTTTGCTTGACTCAACAAGAGGAGGTGAAAGAGAGAAAAAATATGTAAAAAATGGTTCGATAACAACTATTTCCTAGACGTGTCCGAAAACGTTAATGGTTTATAACAAAAGTGAGAAAAAACACTTAAATTGAGAAGCAGAACACTTATATGTGTCTATTTGCCTGGCCCTGTTTCTCTTCGTCAAGGGCATGTTCTGACAATGTTATTACCAAACCGCCTCAATGGTGGGAGCGTCCCTACCTAGTGCGGGTACAAGCGTTCCATTGGGGGCGAGGCAGCTGCAGTCGAAGCAGGTGTCTGTCTTGCTGCTGCTCTGACACTCTACAGGGCAGTCACTTGGCGACGTTATGCAGCTGGCTGGGCGCAATCTAGGACCTGGGTTGAAGTGCCATTTTTTAGGAGTAGACGACGCAGTCCAAGCGCGTAAGACTTAGGAATCCTTTGATCTTAGTAATCCGAGTTGTGATGAACTCTGGAACCGTCAACAGTCCTGATCGGTGCTACATCGCAAACAACAGTTTTAGTATTGCGTACACAAGCGAACGCAAACCTGTTACATTTGCATTAGCTTTGCGTGTTTCACAATTTGTTGCGTGGAGCCTAAACTGCGATGTTGAATTATTGCATGACGACGTCACGCATGCGCAGCCTGGAACACGCAACGCTAACGCAGACGAACACCGCTTACGTTTGTTTCTATACGAAATGCTGAACAAGCTGAAGCCGAACTAGTTGGTTCATGATGCTTACGGAAACGGCCACCTCAAAGGAAATCGTAGTGTGTAGGTTCATTTCCGTTCACCTGGCCATTTTCGTAAACAATACTGAAGCTTTAACATTTGACTTGAAAACGTACTGAAAAATGAGTTATCGCTTCACTCTGTCTGTGGATCGAGACACGCTCTGCACGCCTGCTGGGCAGAAAGTCAAATAAGCAGGTCTGACTAATAAATATTGCGGATTTGTATTTATTTATACGCAGTAGTTTTTAGTTAAACGATAATTTATTCGGAAGAACCCTTTCTGAGGGTGTATGTACCGGAATTTAAACGAGCCTAGTATTAGTGCGAGCTCGAATGAAGGACGTCAATGAGAAAGTTGGGAGGGCGTTAAGATGGCTTTTTTTTTTTTGCAATAAATTATACGTAGACCAACCTGCACTTATCCGAAAAAAAATATGCTGAATTGAAGCAAAAAGCAAACAAACATACGTTGCTTGTTTATGCGATTAGGTTCAAAACGTTTGGTTAATTCAAACGGAACTACGTCAGAATTATTTTTCAGCAGACGTACCGCTCAATTATAGCCGATTGTTTCGACTTCGAAAATAGAGGTGTCAGCAACATAAGCTAAACCTCTAGATGGTATCACTCCCGTGCAGGGGGCTAGAGAAACGCAGAAATACTCTTCATTGGTACATGTCTGTGAGCTTGCGCGTAGTTTATTTTCTCTCGAGCTATTTATCATTTTAACCTTTCTGGTTGGAAAAAGCTCAGATTGTGACAATGACTAATATACAAATTTCCGCCAAGCAAAAACGGGTAATCATATATATTGAGGCGTGCGCCGCTTACAAAACGGTTTCGTGTTAGACAATGTCCTGTTTCAATCTTGCCGCGCGCTCAGCCTTGTTCTCTTCTTCCTCGCTAGAATAGTTTAAATTTGCAAAGCTTAGAAAGACGTCTTGAATCACTGTTTAAAATGTATTTGAAAGTGTCAACCTATACTTCTAAACGTTGTTTAGAAGAAAGATTCACCCAGATCTGGCAGCTCGCAGTGGCAGACGATGCAATTGGTATTTTGGTCCCAAGAACAGCACGAGGGACAAGAAAGGCCACAGGACGCTGTGCTGGAGCAATTAGAGATCCAGGCCACTGGAGCAGCTGCTAAAGAAAGCATTTGATTGAATCGTGCTCACATTTCGTCTCGATGTTTCCAACCGGTTATTTACTGAAACCTGGCTTACAATGTCAAATATTGTAAAAAATACGTGTACTGAAAAAAAAAAAAAGAAAAAGAAACTCTCGGCTGAATAAAAACTATTGCAGAAATGGAAAACCTAAATATTACGAGCTACAATTCTAAAATGTGCTTTTGTTTGTTTCGGAAGTGAAGTTCCCCTCTCGGGGTAGTTGAGGTTTAAGTGTATTTTTTTTTTATTTTTTAACGGTGTGCAATATTTGCTTCGTATTTATTCGTAGAATTTCCCTTTTTCTCGTAGCTCCATACTTTGTCACTTGTGATTTTAATATATGCACGTGTTACTAGACTAACTTTACATACAGCGAGAACAATGGTGTGATGGTCTTTTGAAGAGAAAGCTTAGATTGATTTCGTAACATATCGCTCTCGAGCTTACTACGTGACTGCGTGACACTCTTAGCGCGAACACGTTTTTGGTGCTTTCTTTGGAGTTTACTTCAAAAGTGTACTCAAAAACATTTTGTTTTACTTCTGAAGTTAGTGCCCCAATTGAGCACTTTAAATCACACTGGTGATCTTAATAAAAGCATTTTTATAAAAAAAAAAAAAAAACAACGACAAAAAAAATAAAGAAACGGCGATCGCTTTCTTTCGCCCAGTGTCGCTTATTGTGCATACATGTACGTAATAAATTTGGCTCCAAGTATGTCCCATTCAATTTGCCAATGTAATCGCCACAGTGGGCCACCAGGTAGGTAATGGTCTCTCGCGAAATATACTTATCCCGCGGGAAAAAAATATGTTTCTCGTTATTTTTCGCTCAAGTAAACTAATCGAATTATAATTTTGCTTAAGCATTCAACGTACAGTTGTATATTTGTGCAAAATTATATCCGAATGTTGTAAATAAAACAAATGTCCATGTGGTCCTCCCAAAGGGTCAACGCGGCGCTGGGTCTACGCTGTATCTAAGTAAGCAATTGTGCAAAATACACGAAGATAGTACTGATTACAATGCAATTAAATGCAAAGGCGCAAGCGAGCTGGACAAGAATGATGAATATAATCCCTGGAGAAGGGGAACAAGAGGGACAAAGGACAAACAAAAATATACAGACACAGCTAGGAGACTGTTGTGTGACCGAAAAAATCCGCCTGGTCCGGTTATCGAACCCGGGACCTCTCTATTACAAGTGGAGCGCACTACCAGCTGAGTTAACCAGGGATTTAGACGAGAGTAGAGCAAACGGCCTGCTGAATAAAACCTACGACATCGCCTTTTCACTTTTGCAATTAGGAAGATTCCTGCGTGTGGAGATACTAAGGAGACAGCAGAGTAAAAGAGACGGAGACAAAACATGCTGGAAAGAATCTGGTTCGTTTACACTGGGATAGAAATTTACTATGCGATTTCTTCGCGTTAGTTGTCATAGTTTGAAGCTGCTCGATTCTGCTTTGATGATTAGACCACTGAGAGCTTGTTTTCAGAGCCCGTGAAGGAGTTTCCCCAGGAAGCCATATAATTAGGATTTGAAAGCAAAAACGGCTGATGCAGATATTGTATGAATATCTGCTTCAGCAGAATGAAGGAGCAGTCTTCGCGTAGCCACTTTCTGCGGTCCCCAATTTCAACGCTGTGCTCAACTGACTGGAGATCTGAGCAGACAAGGAAGGTCAAGAAGAGCATGGGCTACGATGCTTGCGTTTTTATATTTCTACCGGAATGAATAAATTAATCATACAAAAGTACATTCTAGTTAGAAGTTGAGATTGACATATCGGGAAGTTACTTCTGTCTCCAAGGAAACCTGCAACTGGAATATTTGATTTTTTTTTGCAGACGGATGGTAGAAATATATTTAAAAGTGAGCAGTCCTGTACAAATTCGCAGTAAAGCGTCAGCAAAAGCTGCGACACCTTTTCAGAACCTTATGGTCCTCAAGTGCCTCGGACCTTATGTGGAGGAGCCATCGCCAACGTCTGCTCGGAGAGTGACACACTGCTTTCCTCAAATGTACAAACCCGCGGCAGGTTTATTTAGATAAAAAAATGCAATATCCAACGCAGGTTGCTCTACAACCCCAACTGTATCCTTTTGAGTTGGGGAAGGATTGCCCGTACCACCTGTTGCTGTAAAAATACAGAGTACGAGTGGTAGGGGCATGTCCAAACCTCGGGCCTTAGCCCACTGCCGACATGCTTTAGATGAGGTCTTGGAGCCGGCAGTTTTTCAGGATACGTGGGCTCACCGGCTACACATAGCTTTACGAAAGAAGTGACCAGTGTGATATATTAGGAGATTTTCAATTAACACTTGCGATATTTTAGTACATGGTGGTAGATTTGTTCTTATCTATGTTTCCTTTTCCTAATGTATTAATAATAAAATCGAACAGAAATGATGAAAGGCTGGTTACCCTGCGTAATACAGAAAGTATAACCGGGACGGAAACTGGATCTTTACAAAAACCGGATGCTGACAAAAAAAAAAAAAAAAAAAAAAAAAAAAAAAGCATGTGCAGTAATGGCTTCACCTGTTTATTCCAGTTTCTTTTCATCAATCAAATGAACTTTTATAGAAACAAAACAAAAAACGGTCTGGTTAGTTTTAGCACTGTATTCAACACGGCAGAGTTTCATGTGACGTGAAGGCGCAGCAGCGAGTAGCTTTCATTTTAAAGAGGTGCACTATGAACTGATAAACCATGCTAAACGTAATTTAAGAGCAACTACATCATGCGTTAAGTAGCATTACCTACTCTAATAAATACTGCAAAGCAACAATCTGAAATGTATTGGATGCCTTCAAAACTTCTTTTTCATCTAGCTCTATCCGCCAGCTTTCTTAGCATTCGTTCATTGCTCACACTAATAGAACCTGGCAAAATTGAAGGTAACCTAAGCTAATATATTGCTCCCCCATTTGCCTGCCTCAACGCTATATAACCCAACTTGACATAAAAATAACAAAGGTTCGGCTTACATCAGGGTTTTCTATATTGTGGGTAGCGACCGGAAAAAGGCTGGCGAAAGATTTGGCGGGGGATCGCAAAGGAGGCTCGGAGACTCCAAAACTCTAAACTTGGCATTTTAACGGTAACGCCGACGAAAGAAAAGTACGGGCCGCAGCTCAACATCAAGCCCGAACTCAGATTCGTGGTGTCTAAACTTCGGCCTCGTTTCGAAGGATTGTGGTCTAATTAACAGGCTCACTTCAATTATTATGTACAGTCTTTCCTTTTGACATGCGTTTTCTTGCTATGGTTTCTATCGCAGCTGATTCACTCTGACTATATTGTCTGTCCAATAAAGGTTCAGCGTCAATTGTGTGCAAATATTTGCGCACATAAAATGGAAAGCTTGTGGCATCACAAAAGTCCCGTGGTGTGGGAGGGGTGTGATCGTGGCGATATATTTGTTTTTAGCTTTGATCGGTCGTAGCGCCGGTTCACATAATATATGTATCCTCATCATACCATCACAATATGACCCATGGATTTGAAAATCATTCCTCTCAAATATTAACAGGGACAGCCGGTTCTCCGCTTATACCCTTCGCTTCGCGGAAGACATTGCTTCCTTTGGCGAAAGGTAGGTGTATATTATGGAATTTTCATAATTGTTTTAGTTCTTTATAGCTGCTTGTTATTTCTCAAAGCATTGTTCGTAATGTACGCTATAACAGCGCAATCGTATTCTAATTTCATAAATATTTCAAATCCGTCCTTTTCACGGTTGCTTTCTACTCTTCTCTGTTTCTACTGCGGAAAAAATTGTTGCCATCAGGAACATTTTCGATGTAGGAGTAGACACTTTTGATACCACTCAGGTTATTCTATAATGAGTTCGCACAATTATGAAGTCGAGTAATAAATGTACCTATGGAGTGCTGAGTGCCTCAAGTTAATTGTTTTATTGTGCACGTCATTGTGTTCGATTCCTTCTTGTTACAAAATCTCTAGAGCAGTGGTTCTCAACCATTGATGTTTCGGGGACCCTTGAGGATCGCCGAAGATGGTGGGGGACCCCGTTCGTGGTGAGGGGAAGGGAAAAGTATGGGGTAATTATGATAATGATTTAATAAATCAATATAAGTAAGTGCTAGATTTCTATCATTGGCATACACACGAGAAAACGCACTCGAAAATTGGAACGTTTCTTCTCAATCTAGAAAAATAAAAATTTTATTGCCGGGTTTGACTAATGAGGCAGGGCTTCGCGGACCCCTAGATTGTCTTCGCGGACCCCCATTCGAGAACCGCTGCTCTAGAGTAAGATATTGCCTTTAGATCACATCTTACTTGCCCAGTTCAATTTAAGAAAAAAAAAAAGTTTGTGTATAAGAATTGTTTGCCTGATTTCCAAGTAGTAAATCAGTACGGCGCCTAATTGTGTACCTCGTAAATATTCCTGCAGCAACAAACGACTCTTTAATATACCGCTTAATATTCTTAACAATATTTCTCAAAATAAACGCATCCAGAAATTAAAAAAAAAGCTTCTGCACCCATGTTATTAGAGATAGTTACATTTTCTTGCATGATATAGTCTTTTGTATACAAGATAGAGAATACTGAAAGGTTATAAAAAGCTAAAAAGAAGTAAAGCCGATATTTGACCGACTAGAAGAAGGAAGAGGTAATAAATGTTTGTAGAAAAAGTTTTTTGAGAAGAAATATTTTTGATTTCTCTTTCGTTCCGATTTCCCCAACTAATGTTGAAACGAAACAGAGGTTTCAAGCTGCCGAACTCGAAATGGAAATATGTGCTAAAAGTCTGAACAGAAGTTTTTATTTGCTTTATTATTTTTTAGTCCAACTCAGCAGGCGACTACGTAAAACTGGAACGTTACGTCCACGTGAGTAGCGACAGGATTTCAATGCGTTTTTTGTTCGATACCCGCCAATGCACGTCGTTTTATATTTATATATGTTAACGTGGAATGTTCTAGAAGATTTGAGAATGATGTAGTTTGTTCAAGCTTAGTATGTGCAATTCCGGAATGTTCTCGGCAGAATTCCCTTAGACACCCAGAAAGGGTTCAAAAGAAGCCGCCCGCGCCGCACTACCTCACTTTTTCGCATGCGCTCGCTCCTGCTGTTACGCCGTCATTGACGACCGTTATTCGACATTCATTCTCATTTTGTTTTGGCACAAGTTCGCCACATTCAACGTTTAGTTTCTTCAGTTTTCACTGCCTCGTCATTCGTAACCATATTAAAAAAAAGAAAACTGCTTTGCGTAGGTTGATTTACGGTATTCCGATTGGCATAATATGGCAGATACAGTTGTCCTCTCAATAGCACGTTATGCAAACTGAGTGGAAGGAGTCCCGGGTCCTCCTCAGACCCTTAGAATTACTTGGAGGTGAAGAAGCTTAGGCGCGTGACCTTTTATGATGCCTCTTCTATTTTGGGAGAGACGTTCCTAGGTGTTCCGTTTCTCCAATGCCGCAAACGTGATCGGCTGCGGAACGTTAAAATGATGCCCTGTACTCATTACGCCCTTTGTATCGTAAGAAGGCTGTCCGTTACTGCATATACTCCCACTAGCTGGCACACAAAAATGAATACAGGGGTCTCTGTGAAGTGTGCATTGACTGAAAAGGCCTATACTTGAAGAGAAGCCCGTGAATTCAGTTTCCCGTATCACACGGAGAGGGCCAGTCCCGGCGAGCAACTGGAGGAACTCGGCCAATGACGAAGCTCAGCGTGCGATTCGATCGGAGGAGCAATTCATTCGAGAGTTTTAGGGAACCGTTGTTGCCCATCCGATACGGTACGCCTGGCCCTCCGGCACGCACTGCGCATTGGCGAGTCTTCTGCGGCAGCACGTGCGCAGAAGGTCCATCGTACCTTATGCGATGTGCAAAAACGGTTCCCTAAAACTTTCTATTATGCGAATGCGCGGTACGCCAGGGAAACGACAGGTTGATTGTCTCCGCGCGGTTCGTCTAATAATATCTTACGCTTCGTCATTCACTCTGATTCTTCTCTTAAAAGAAAGCTGATGAGGTTCTTAAAAAGATATCGAGTTAGAGATGAATTTTAGCATGCTTCTGTCCTGTGAATTTTTATATCACAATCATTTGGCCCAAACGTAATAATAAAAAAAAAAAAACGAAAAAAAACTTTGCTGGGTGTGATGTTATACCCAGAGGTTTCAACTGCCTTGCGAGTGCCGCTTGCGACGGAACGTCTGCGGTGCTTTCGACTGCCCGGGTAAGGATTGGGGAAGGCGTTGAAAGGTTGAGCTCTCTGTATGAATACGTCACGGTTCTCTCCTTCCACCGACCGTACTGGGAAGGAGGGGCTTCATCGCTATTTCGAAAGTGCTGCTTTGGCTACTTGGCGCATCAGTCTGAAATATAATTTTGATATTCGCAAACCTGGAGGCCAAATAAAGGTGATTTAAGTATTTATGCAGAACCGCTTCAGTTTCCTGAAAAAAAAAATAGCGAATTTGCTGGCAAGCTGGTGAAGGTTAACTATGATTAATTATACCTGACACTGTTGCTATTGCCTTTTCTTAGCACAGGCTGAAGTACAATTAATCAACAATATTCTTTTCTTTAGTTCACCGTGATTGGCTGTCTCGGGTGCTGCAAGAATGTAAACTATCAGCGGTTTTTTTATAATCGCAGTCTTTCAGTGCTAGAAGTTTGACAGAAAATGTTTCATAATGCTATGCATCTCTATAAACTGTATCATTGCATGTAAAAACTATTTGCGGCAACACGCACCTGTAATCGCAGTAGCGGCCTCAAGGGGTGTCTGGCACGTGTCCTGGCACTCCTTTAGGCTCTGGAAGTTATTGCTGTTGCCACCGCAGCCGGTGTACGTGAAAGGTTCGCATTTGCCCGTTGCCTGGCTGTAGTAGAAGCTGCTGTGCTTGGCCTGGCAAAAACCAGCATCGAAGGGCTGGAAACATTTTTCTGTACCTAAAAAAAGTGAAAGACGTTTACAACTCCCTGTAATGTCGAATTAGAGAGCAGCTCTTGAGTAGGAGAAGGGGAGGGTACGGGAGGGAACGGTACGCCTCTCCTCCTCCGTCCTCATCTACTCCTCCCTGCTCCTCGCCTCGTCCCCCTTTTCTCTCCTTTTTTCTCCTCCTCCCCGCCTCCCCCTCCTCCCTCCCGCGCGGTGCATTATGGGAAACGTCCCATAATGCAACGCGCGCGTCATCCTGGCTCACTAGGTGACGTTTCCTATAATGCACCACGCGTTTACGCCGACGCGTTATGGCTATGCCGACGGCGACGGGGTCGGCGACGCGTCACGAAAAGGCGTTACGCCGATGCGTTACGGCTACGGCGACGGCGACGCGTCCCGTAAATGCGTTACGCAGATGCGTTCGGCGACGCCGACGCGTCACGGAAAAGCGTGACTCCGATGCATTACGGTTACGGCGACGATAACGCGTCACGAAGAAGCGTTACGCCGGTGCGTAACGGCAACGCCGACGCGTCACGAAAAAGCGTTATGCCGATGCGTTACGGCTACGGCGACGGCGACGCGTCACGAAAAAGCGTAACGCCGATGCGTTATGGCTACGCCGACGGCGACGCGTAACAAAAATGTTACGCCGATGCGTTACGGCAACGCCGACGCGTCACGAAAAAGCGTTACGCCGAAGTGTTACGTTTACGCTGATGGCGACGCCGTTCAAGCCGGAAACGGACGCCTAAGATTTTCGCTCTAAAAATAGTTCAAGGTTAGACGAAGGCGTTGCCCTAGCTGAAGAATGTTTAAGCATTTGTGAAGACTGTCTAACTCGGGGACGTCTGGAAATTGTCGAACGTAAACCGTAAGGAGCGTAAAAGTGTAGCAAGAAAGGAACGCTCCTCTTTAGATTTTGCGAAAAGCGTTTCCCATTGAATTAAATCTGGAAATTGAAGCGTTAAACCCATTTAGGTTCTTGCGCAAGAGTAGAAACAGCATCTGTATATTTTAATGTGCCTTATATTTTACCTTGCTTGTTCGCGAATGGATGTCTATCGCCTAAATATGGCAAGGCCATTGGTGTTGTGTTCTGTTTCAACAATCTGGCTGTTCTATACTATATCGCGTCCACCACTGTGAAGAGTGAAAAGTGGTTTGGGGACACAAAAAATAAATAATAATAATTATTGATAGTATTATAACGCTACCTGACCAATTGAGCGGGAACACATGAATTCAGTTATTCAACACACCACAAGACTTATATACTAATTTATTCGAAATGAAGGACACCGTTTACTAACATGCATAAGATATATTGACTTCTCTCATTCTATGCACACCTGCCTTATTATAGAAATAAAGCTTGCGGTAATTATGTTTGCTCGCGATATTTTGCTCGAACCGCATTTCAAAACGATCCTCAACGGGTAGCCAGCTTGGCACTAAATAACAACACAAAAATCTGGAGCATCTATTTTCTGGCAACGATTCGTACAGCCAAACGCTGGCATCTACAGAGGGATCTTCGGGAGCACACGCTAAAAATGTCCCTGAACATCGAAAACATATCTCCATTGTACCAGCGAGCATGAGGTTTCGCTAAAGCTGCTCTACACGCAAAAGTAACGACCTCCCTTGAAGGATCCACAAGGAGGGTGGAGAAACGCTGTCAGATTGCAGTGGACGCTAGTAGCACATGTCTATCAACGCCGACAGGGCAACGTCACGGATTTCATCGCTTTTCTTTGAGTTGTGGCTCGATCAATTCAGAGTATAAGGTACACAATGACATTAGACTTTTAGTCTGTCTGCATGTGTTTGTGTGTTTTCTAGCCTTCTACTGCGCTTTGACTCATGTTATAACCAAGTAAAGAAAGGCGCCGCCTGCTATCTTGGAGCGGATAAGCGGCTGTACCTTCAACGCGCGGGTGCGGAATAGCAAATAATAAAGATACAGAGTGTGCGTGCCAGAGGAAAAGGAAGAATATGTCGCTACTTTTCTTACTCAAGGGCCTTATGTTTTGCGTGCATGGTTACACTGTGTTCAGCGTCGCAGTTCAGTTTTTATTTTAGGTCGAAACATTTTTCCAGACTCCTCGTGCGCCCAGTTATTTTCGTGATTGTAACGATTGGCTCTGTCAAGTGCATTGCGGGAAATATAGACACGCTATGCTTTTGAGAGTGCAGCCGAAAGGATACAGGCAGGGTTTTCGCTATACGTTCTTCACCATCTATCTTAAAGGGAAGCGGACGCTCTACAGGCACGGGATTGATATTTCGAAACCTACTTTTGCAGAACAACTGCTTACGATAGAGTTATGTACTTCAAAGCAGGCTAGCTCAAGCGTGTTGGGCTAGCTCAAGCGTGGGCTACCTAACTTTTGCAGAACGACTGCTTGCGATGGAAAGATATGTTTCAAAGCAGGCTGGCTCAAGCGTGTAGGGCTAGCTCAAGCATGTTGCCTTATCTGACCCGTGAGCTTATAGGTGGGTTGAGTATAGCGGCTGTTCAATATGAAGAGTGTACCATTTTATCTCGCAAGTGACAGAACCTGCAGAGGCCTTGGTGCTGCAACATACAAGTACGTCGCGTAGTTTGACTGCAACTGAAATGTTTATAAAACTTCTAGATAAATCCGATTAATTTATGGCACATTGTTGCAATTATAAATAAGGGGCCCTAAGAAGCCGAACAGTTTGGATGTCTTGTAATATTCAAGTTCCAAACGTACATACCTGAATGCAGACCGCGAACTTTGTTCGCGGTCTACATTCAGGTATGTACGTTCAGGTATGTAAAACAGTTCTATAAAACAGGTCTACATTCAGGTATGTACATTCAGGCATGTAAAACAGTTCTATAAAATGGCGTCTGAATCAAACTCACTACCAAATCGCGTTTCAGCGTTTTCTTACTCACGAGAGACAAATATTTAAAAGTAAAACGAGCAGACGAAAACCCCACTGCGTCAATGACCTCCTTTTGAAACCCCACGAGTCGAGTGGACTCGCTACCGCATGAGGAAACAAGAAATAATGGCAGATGAGGTGGCAGTTTGGTCTGGATGAATGTTCGAATGAAGGGATGCTCCTGTTCTCGAAGAAAAAAGAATCGGGACTCGAGTTGCTTAATGAAAACCCAAGTCCCCCGTGACACACCCGGTGAAAGAGGTTGTCACGCCTCGTTCGTTCCCAATTAGATCCCCAGATGAAAAAAACGAAAATACAGTGAAATTTCTGAACGTTCATGCGAGCGCAGGGGATCGCTTTCAAAACATACCGTATCATTGAAAAAGAAAAAAAAAATGTTGCAAACTGTCGCTTTCGCGAAGATGGACAGATCACTTTACTTCCATTGGGAAGCACGGCTGGCCAGGTTGGTTTGCGAACCCAGATCAATAGGTTTTGTTCTCGCGGTAACAATTTGAAGGCACGCCGACGCATGCGCACGGCACGCGATCCCGGCTAGCGCCTTCGTACTCTGAAGGAGTTGTGGCCCGTGCTCCGTACCAAACCCCGCGGCACTCGTTCCAATTTATAGCGGCGCCAGTGTAGCCTCACAAAAACATTTAGCCAAGGTGACAGCGGCACTAACGCTGAGCTTGTCACTGGAAAACACCGCGATATCCTCCGCATAACTGATAACCTTTGACTCGCTATTTTGCAGACGGAAGCCTGGGTCCTCTCTTCCTTGACTTTTCGATTCAAAATGCTGCCTATGGTGTGCCACAAACGCCTGCTGTATGCTACTTTGGCTCGTGCTCGTAACGCTGTTGACATCTATTTCAGCTATTTCCTTTCACAGCGCGTATCGCTTTTCATCCGCTAAAGCCCGTTTCGTTAGCTGCTCGCCCAGGACGTACTTCTCTGCACGCGCTCGGACCACGGCTCCGTAATAACGCTCTTGGTGAAGCTGTTCTAGCTAATGCCCCTGAATAAAAAAGCTAGCGACATCTTCTCTATCCTCCTCTTACGCGCACACCTTTATCTTTATGTTTTGCTTTTTTACACCCGCGCGTCGACAGTAGCGCCGCCTGGTTTGGCCTAAGATAGGAGGCGGCATTCTTCAAAGGATGTCGCTACTTTTCAGTAGAAAGGGGCTTTAGTTCTAGCCATTCTTTTACGCTATCTAAGTCTTTCAAACACGTGCTGGGAGCTACACACTCCGCTCTTGAGAGCGCCTGCAAATCAGCGTTTAAACTGCGTTCGGCACAACGCGCTTCGTAGGCCAAAACAGATGACCTTTCTATCGCAAGCATCTTAACTTCTTGCTTTACAATCTCCCACTTCTCAAAAATACCCCCTCCCGTGCTTTCAAAGTACGATTTAAACATTCTGTTTATACGCGCAAGAAAGAACACATCGTCGAGCAGGTTGGTGTTAAGCTTCCACAGCTTCCACTCGAACCTCGCCTTCGTCGGCGCCCTATCACCGATCACTGTCGCAACCAGGCAGTGATCGGAGAAAAAAACCGGCGTTACCCGATATTTGCCTAACAATGCAGAAAGAGAGGCGGAAACGTAGATTCTATCCAGGCGGATGTGGGATGACGCTTGGAAGTAGGTGAAACGCATCTCACGCGCCTCATTCCTAACGGTTCAGCGTCAACTAGCTCAATATCTTCGAGCAAGTCGCCTAAAATCGTCGCACATCGATCAGTGTACTGCCGAGGCGGCGTTCTATCATTCGCTCAAACAACGCAGTTAAAATCCCCGTACAACACAATTGTTCTTCTGCAATCTAGAAAACGGTGTAAGCCCCCAAAACTGGAAACTCGGTCTTTCACCGTACTGGTATAAGCCGCCAGTGAACTGCTGAAAATAAAAAATCGCACATAATAAAGCGCCCTTCCGTGTCGGTGTTGACGTCGAATTCCGACCAGGAAAGGAATACCGTGAAGGGAAAGGAAAGAGAGATGCGGACGAAAGGGGAATGTTTAATAAGTCGAAAGAAAGTTTATTGTTTAGACTGGAAGGGAATTCCTTTTTTAGGCTAG